CCAGAGCATTGGAAATACCTACGTGGTCGAACTTGAACTCTAGTGAAGTAAAAAGACAAGACAATAGCGTAAGTGATTTATGGTTGTAGAAGTAGTTTCCCTATGGTTGCCACCCCATTTATGTAAAGTGTTGGTTTGACTGCAATCTGTTATATGGTGCTATACAGTGATATGTTTGGCTGTTTAGAACTAATGTTTTGTTCATGCAAGATGTGTTATGATGGCCTGTGCACTAATACCACAGAGGCAACCTGACGAGGACCCTGGTATTCGTCCGTAAGACCATGGAGAGTAATTGCCATGGCAGGATTGGTATGATGATTTCAAAGCATGATTTATCTTCCAAACTATGTTTCAAATGTTTTCCATTCTATTATTGTATATGCTATTATATGACTGTTGCAGGAGTAAGCATCATGGTTTGGAGGTTGCTCCAACTATGAGTCCTTATTGAGACCCCCAATCTCACCCCTCTTTGGGGATCCCCCCTTTCAGGTAAAAATGACCAAGTGAGTAAGGAAAGGCAAGAGACTGGTACGTCTTGAAGATGATACCATGCAGTTACTTGTGGATAAAATTACTGAACTTTGTAATGAAGACTGTATGAGCAGGCTATGATGCTGGTGTTGGTGGAAGTCTACGGAGATTATGACTACAGTGAATCCTTATGGATTGAATGATGCCTTTTAATTATAGTTGGAAGACTGTAATAGATTATGCTACTTACGTTACTTTAAACATTGCTATGCGTTTATGGATTATATTTGGGTAATGTGGATTTAAGAGACTTTATGTTTATGGATTATGCAATCAAGTCGGAAGACCTATATGTTTCTGCCATGTATTGTTATTTAAGGTTAATCGACTATGTTTTAATGTCACAAAATAGATTAGGAGATATGATTAAGACTAGGACTTCATCCTTGAACTCATGACTTATTAGATGGACCCCTAAGAGAGATTTAACTTGAGGAAATTTTTCATAAAGAACTTAAAGGTCATAGCATTCGTGGTTGGAATTTTAGAATAATAGGGGGACCTAATAATAAAGCTATAACAGTTAAATTATTAGAGGACTTAGAAATTAATAGGAATACGACGCGTGACATAATGCACCCTAGGCATTGTGACGAAACTGTAGACGCTAAGAACACATGATTAGATGGATAAGTACGATTGTTAACTTAGTTGAAATTCTGAATGAAATTAATCCCCTAGAACAATAAAAGTAGACCACGCTTAGGGTAATCCTTCCGCGCTAAGTACGAAGTTAAGCAATGTTAACACCTCGGGAGTGTAATTCGGGGTGTTACAGGAAATGTGCCAACAAGGAAAATATCTTAGTGAAAGTGAAACTACGCAAAACTACCCGAAAACTTGAGATTGGTCTAGTGTGAGACTAATAATGGACATTATTGGATGATAGGTTATGATTTGGTGATTTTTTGAAAAAGGTGTAAAAAGTACAATTTTCACGATAAAAACACAAATGTGGGAAATCTCCCAGAAACTCGAAATTCGTCTGTTGATGGACAAATAATGGACATCTAGGAATGTTAAATTTTTGAATTGATGATTAGATCATGGATTAGTGGAAGTTTAAGTGAGGGATAACTATGTTATTTAAAAAGGGTTTAATGAAGGGCATTTTAGTCTTTTCACATGGTAAACACTTGACCACTTTGATGAGTCACTTAAGTGAGATCCAATTCAGTTTTTTTTCACCTTATTTGCTGAAAATTTTGTGGCCTTCCCCTTCCCAAACCATGAAGTCACCATTTTTGAAGGCTTTGAAGAACTTGAAAAACCTAACTCCATTTAGAGACATTTATAGCAAAAACTTTGAACACCAAACTTGTTCCCCTTGAGATGGTGAGTAACTTCCATGTTGTGGGTTTGTCTTGAAGAACATTTTGTGAGGAGTTGTATCTCCTTGAACATTTCGACCTAAAGAGGGAGGTGTGAGCTTGGAAGCTCATTTGACTTGCTTGGGTGCTTGAATACCCTTGGACCCTAGAAACTCATTCGTGGTAAGCAATTCAAATTCTTCTTAAGATTTATGATGGATTGAAAATGCGTATAGCTTTTAAATATGTGTTGATTGGTGAGTGCTGTTAGAGGCATTAAATGCTATGTCCCTTTGGTATTTATTGCTTGGATTGGTGTCTTAATGATGAAAATCAAAGGTGAGGATCTTGACACTAGGAAAAAAATTTGAATGGAACAAATGAGGCAATTGTGAAGTAAATGAGGAGGGATGATGAATTGGCGTGTTGGATGCTTGAATTAGTTATTTGTGAGGTTAAATGGGAGCTTGGATCCATTGAAATGTATAAAATTCCTTGGCCCCCTCGGTGGTGTGTTCCTCGGCCTAAAGAGGTAAAATTGGATGGAAATATGGTTGGATGAGTTGTGAGGAATCTATGGTGTGTGATTGTGTTGTAAGAAGTAAATGTAGTGATGAAATAAGTTGAATTGAATTAAAACACAATTGGGTGTGTTTTAGGACCCTTGGCCGAAAGCCTAACCATTTAGGGAGTCTTGTGTTTATACTTGGTTTGTAACTTGTTTGACAAGTTAATGATGATCATACGTTATATGATCTTGTAGGTTGACACCCTTGGACCCAATATTGGAGGATTGAGCTTTGAAAGCTTCATTGGATAACCTTTGATCTTTGACCTAAAGGACTTCGGTAAGTAATAGCTTACCTTGTTGTGTGTTTATGATTAATAGTTGTTTGAGTCATTGTGATTCAAATTATAAATGTTGGAATTGCTACTTTGTGTGTAGGCTTTTTGTGAAAAAGTGAAAGTTGTTGGCTTTCTTATAGTGCAAGTAAGCTAGGCTTGGAGGAACCTATATTGAGGTAAACTTATTGTCCTAGGGTTAATCCCCTTGTGTGCTCCTACAAGCCCATTGGGGTAGTGGTTGAAATTTGTGAACTGTGACAACGCTTAATAGAGTATGCTCATGCATTTGAACATATTATGTGGTAATTATTTCTATGTATTCTCTAGCCAGTAGAATTGTGTTGGGGGACTTTCACTAGATAGGTTTCCTAAGGGAATTCTAGTTGGCGCTGTGCCTTAGAGTTGTTATCCACTGGGAGCACTCTAAGAATGTCTCGGGAGTTATATGATGGGATCCTTGAACAATATCCTTGAGTGGATGTTCTCAGATTTGTGCCCAATTGGATTTTTAATTGTATGCTATACTGTATGAATATTATCATTGTATGCACATTTGAGTGAACCATTGGGGGAGTGACCCTGCAGGAACCGTGGTTTACTGAGATTGTTAAATCTCACCCCGCGTTTTGGTGATCCATATTTCAGGTACGACTGATCGTGCGGGAGGAGCACCGGGCAAGAGGCTTATCTAGGCCATTGGATGGGAAATTTGGAGTGCATGGCATGTATTGGCATTTTGGGAGATATTTAGATTGAAGCACATAGTAGTATTCATTTTATATCATTGACTTACGATATGAACATTGATCTTGCATGATGTTACATTTACCATGTTTAGGGTTGTTCATACTTTTGTATCTAAGTCATTTGATTATAAATTGTAATATTTTGGATTAGGTAGCAATGATGATGTAATAGTTCTATTTGGTTAGTTGATGAAATTGTACCTATGATTATGCCATTTGAGAACTATGGAATTGTAATATTTGATGTATGTGATGGAAGAACATTAGGCCTATTTTAGTATTGATGTTGTATATGGGTTGTGTATGAAAAGTGGATAATGATCATTTGATTGAAAGATTTGAATTGCTTTAGTTGAAATTGATAAATGTAATAAAGGATAATTTGTAATCCTAGTAAGTTATGGAGAATGATTTATGAATTTAGTAATGAACATATTGGGATTTGTAACGAGGGATGTAAGTCCACCAAAGTTTGTTGGGCCTTTGGATGTCTTTCCAATTTCAATTAGGTACAATTGAATAAATGAGATTAGTTGTAAAAACAAACACATGCTACCTAAATTTCTAGAATTTGGTGTGGTTTTCGCCCTAACTTTGGAGATCGATATCTCCCTCATTTCTTTGTCAAATGAGGTGTGTGAGCTACCATTTTAAAGATTAGGATGTCCCCTACACTTTTCTAAAATATGGAATAATTATGAGTTGTAGAACTTGCCCATAACCGAAATGAATGAAGACTACCCTATTTCGCATTTTAAGTTGTAACCTTTGTCTGCGTTTTTGTAAATTCAATATCTCTTTCATTTCTTATCTAAATTAGGCTTATGATATATCAAATTAAAGATCAGTATGTCTACTAGAAAATATTAAAATTTGGGAGTAAACAGATTAGTAGAATGTCTGCAGTTTCTAAAATAGTGAGGGAACTTGGTGAACCTGGAAATGCAGTATTGACAGCTTTAAGGAAATGACTTACGAAAAGCATATCCGGAGTTCTACAACTCCAATTGAGTCTAGTGATACCTTGTTGGAAATCTAGAAGAGTCTAGTTTAACATACTAAAAGTTGGAAATTTAAGGACATGTATTCCATCTGCAGCTTTGAGAAAATCGAAACAAATTTTGTTTTGGCAAAATGTAAATGTAACATCCCGCTAATTTAATTAGGGTAAACCTATTTTAATTCATGAGATTTATGTTAATTATATTCTTGAGTGAGTAAGTATTTTAGGAAATTGAAATACTAGTTAAGAGGATAGGATAAGTTAATTTCGATATAAAATTTAATTAACACCTAAAAGAAATAGGGAGTCATGAAAATACTTGAACCTTGGATTGTGAAGATGGAAAATTAGACCCCAATTACGCTTTAGGGTTTCGGCCCAAAGGCCCTAAGAGAAGGATTTAGGTAGCCCAAACTTTTAAACCACCCACTTTATTATCCTAAGGAAATCTGAAATTTATGCTCCTTATTGGTCCACTCCTTTGCATGAATGCCCATTGGTTGAAAACCATACATCCTTCATTTCTACTTCTCTCTCCACTCGTGCGTAGCAAGGGGGAAATCTGCTATCTGTTGTAATCTTGGAGGAGCGTTGGGTATGAGTGTGAGTAGTTTATCACCCTATTCTCCTTCCACGAGTGTAGCAAGAGAACTCAAGCAAAAACCCAACATAATCACCCCCTACACAAACCGTGAAATTCATAGGGTAGCAAGACTCATAAGCATCCTTCTCCTTCGGTCCACTGTTCGGCTGTGTGCCCATGCAAAGAAGCTGTATTATTTTTATTACTTCCTTGTTCCTCATGATTATCTTCGCCCTGTTGGAGATTCTGCTGCATGCAGAAAGATATCTTGACTCTCACCCTCCACCCTCTTCATTTGGACGCACATTCATCCTCTAGTGGAGAAGGTGAAGTATTTTTGTTTGCTGTCACATTGTCCTTTTTACTGGAAATGTTTCTGATTTGGACTTCTTTCCCATGCCCTCGAACCAGTTTTGATTGGGTCTTTTCTTCCATGGCATGCCACTAAAACCGATTTCTTGGAGCTGTAGAGAAGAGAGAGGTGGCACAGCTTTTGGTCCCTGTTCTCCATGGCCGATTTGCACAACTTGGGTTCCTTGCAAGTAATTGTGAGTCAAACAAATAACCTTCCCTTGTTTCTTTTTTTATCTATTCGGTCCTCTTGTGCATATGGGAGAATACTTTAATTTGGTCACTTACTTCCATTAAATTCTGCTCTTTAGAACAGTTCTAGGATGTAACGAAAACAATATGCTAAAAGCTTAATTGTCCTAGCCTAAGAAAAATTGGGTAGTGTCTTATTGGAGTAAAATTTTGTGCACCTGAATTCTGTCCTCTTGAGTAGCTCGTAGGAAATAAACCCTGTTTTGGAATCCTTCCTCAAATGTCGTACAAATCGTAAACCTCACTGTATGTATGTCATAAGTCAGATTTTGGAACGTTGGAAAGATAAGTCATCACCTTGTGTGAACTGCCCTTTTGACTAGAAGGATAATCTCATTTTCTTGCATATGTTAATTAATCATAAAAGACAGCCTTGAATTAGAAAAAGAAAATAGCCGTTGTATGTGTTTAGGAATATGTAAACAGCATGTTGTATGCCTCACTAGCACACCCTAGTTATTGTAAATCAAGTTATGTAAATATTAAATGTATAGCACTTAACCCATGGACAAGAAACCGAAATTTCATGACTGACTTGGATTTTGTCAATTAAGGACAATTGGTAACTTAACACTATGACAGAAAATGTGTTTACTATATGAACTTGGAAACCGATCCTAGAATTAGGATCTAGGACAAGGGAAAACTATGTAATGTATAGGAAATTTGTATCATAAATTCTGATTTGGTACATGTATGTGTTAGGTGCGCAAGATCTTAAAATGTGGAACGGTTTGGTGATCTTGGATTAAAAGATTATACACATCGAGGTAAGTGTTAGGTGGCATTACCTATTGTGATTATTAGCTAGAGTATAGAATTGTGAATCGTTGCTCACATGTGCCTTGGACTGTATTATGCTGTAAATTATATGTGTACTGCCTATGAATGTGACAAGATGGAAGTTCTACTATGAGAAGTAATTGTTGTGCAGCAGCTTGGTATTGGAAATACTTGAAAGATATGTTATTATGATGATAATTTAGTCATGCATATGCACATCATATTCATATGTTCCTTTTGTGAGTGAGAAGCATACCGTGGCATACAGCATTGTGCATCCAATTTAGAAACCGAAGTATATAATATAAGTAAGCATGTGATTGAGCACGCATCATATAGGCATCCCTCCGGTATCAGGGTATGGGACACTTGGCTTCCGTCCGCATAGGCCACAGTTGGAATTCACCTTTGAGGGAGCCATTATGGAATATCCACTGTGTATGTTAGTAAGCGCACGACGGTACTATGAGCGTAATGATGGCGTTATATACGCACTATGATGATTATGGCATTATATACGCACTATGATGATATGTTAGCAATTGTCCGGAAAGTTATATGTTGATGCGACTGTTTGGAATTTTGTACCTAGTCTAATATTGTTGCAATAATAGTTTTGCTATCACACTACTGGGATTTTTCTCACCCCTTTTTGGGGCTGCATTTTCATAAATTGTAGGAAGACGTAGATGCATTGAATAAGAGTTTGATGATATGCTTGTGTTGTAAATGTCCTGTTGATTGCTGCTGCTGTTTTGGAAATGTTGATATGATATGCTGTTCCTGATGATTGTTGGCTGGGTACTTAGTATGCTGTAATATTTGTTTTTGAGGTGCTGTAAGAAAATGTTAAGACATGCCTAAGATTGTTGTAATTGGATTTTATGGTCAGTAGGTAATTTATGAGATGCTGGTATATTTTGCAAAATCATTTCATGTACATTCTGAATTCTGGTTGCAAACTGATTTAGCGAGCATTTTACGAGTTGTCGTTCTGGGGCTACAGACCTCCGAACGAGGTATAATTTATATGGATGTAAAGCCCCAGATGTATACTTTGTCTGTGTCAAAGAAGATTTTTGAAAACTGTTAAGTACGATTTTATATTATTTTTGCAAGTCAAGCAGTTTTGGAACATTTTCACTGATTTATCTCTTACCTTGCGAGTTCTGTTTCGGGAGCTAAACACCTCCGAATGAAATGATTTTTATATGTACGTAAAGCCCCGAATTGACAGTTTCTTCGTAGCAAAGAAGATTTTTGTAAATTTTTGTATTCGAATTTTTCATAATGTTTTCAAGACAGGTAGATTCAGGAAAGATCAGAGTGGCGCAACGAAAGTTGTTTTGTTTTTTATTTTCTTGTTGTCTTTATGTTTCGAAGTCAGTGTTAAAGAAAAGATTTTAAATGATAATGTCAATAAGTTTTTTTTTGAAAAAAGAATCTTTGATTGTAAGATTTTTGTAACATCCCACATAATTAGGAAAAATATATAAATTGTTCTGAGGATTATGGATATGATGTTAAATTCGATTTATGTGCATCACAGGCTTCGTGATGAGGACATAGGAGGTGGCATGACCAAGACAACAAACTTGGAGGACATACAAGGTCTTGGAGGTCCAATGACGAGAGCAAAAGCTAAAAAGGCTAAAGAGGCTCTAAATCTCTTATTTGAGGACAAATTCTTCTAAAGAAGGAGGGAATGATGAGGACATAGGAGGTGGCATGACCAAGACAACAAACTTGGAGGACATACAAGGTCTTGGAGGTCCAATGATGAGAGCAAAAGCTAAAAAGGCTAAAGAGGCTCTAAATCTCTTGGTGACCACTTTACTTGAGACAAGCCCAAGTCTAAAGGAAGAAGAGCCCAAAATGATACACTTAATTCAAATTGAAGACTTTGAAGAATAAGCCTCAATGGATATGCATGAAGGATTTATTTTTACTTGGCCCAAATTCTGCACTTAATTTTATTTTTCTTATATTCAGTTAAACTTTTGTAATAAGGCTTAGTGGGCTGGATTATTGGGCTGTCTATTTTCTTTTATGTGTAAGCACTTTTAGGTTAAGCTCAATATGGATGTTGCCCACTATATAAGGGAACACCATAGCTTTTGAAGGGAAATTCAGAATAAAAAGATAACCTTTTTTTGGTGAGAGACTAGCTTCTCTAGGGTTCTTTTGAGAATCTCAGAACTTATCAAGGGTGCTAATCCTTGTGGCGTTCATAGGCTAATCAATATTTGGATTGTGGCGCCTTCCAGTTATCGTTTCTTGATTGTGTTCACAAATTCTTGTATCAAACCCTATCACCCAAACCTTCAATTTTCGTCCAAAATAGTCTCGGTTCATATCTCCTGATATACGCGTTGGTTTTCGGTGATTCTTGAGTCAAAGTCGCGATTCAGAAAGAGATCTTTCGCCTCAATTTGGAAACGTCCGATTCCGAGGTCTGTAGCGTGATATACGCTCTGTTCATAACAGTTCATGTTGGTGGATGAATTTGGGGTTAGAATTTCCATTCCTAGTAGATCCATTCCTCCATTCCTATTGGGGATCATATCATTGTATGTCCTTCAAGTTTGTTGTCTTGGTCATGTGATATGATCCCCCAATAGGATTGGAGGAATGGATCTACTAGGAATGGAAAATTATAACTCCAAATTCAGCCGCCAACACGTACTGTTAAAAACAGAACGTATCTCACGCTACGGACCTCGGATTTGGGTGATTCCAAAACGAGGTGAAAGATGGCTTCCTGAATCACGATTTTGGCACAAGAATCACCGGAAAAGGATAAGGAATTCGGGAGATATGAATCCAAGATAATATAGAACGAAATTGGAGTTTAAGGATTATAGGTAGGCGCCACAATTCCAAAGAATTGATAAGCCCAAGAACGCCACATGGATTGATGCCCTTGATAAGTTCAGAGATTCTCAAAAGAACCCAAGATAACTAGTCTCACCAAAATAGGTTAACTTGATATTCCAAAATCTGTCTTCAAAAGTCATGGTGTTCCCTTATATAGTGGGCAACAACCATATTGAGTTTAACCTAAAAGTGCATACGCATAAAAGAAAATAGACAGCCCAATAATCCAGCCCAATAAGCCTCATTACAAAAAGTTTAACTAAATATAAGAAAATAAAAATTAAGTGCAGAATTTGGGCCAAGTAAAATAAAGCCTTCATGCATATCCATTGAGGCTTATTTTTCAAGGTCTTCAATTTGAATTAAGTGTATCATTTTGGGCTCTTCTTCCTTTAGACTTGGGCTTGTCTCAAGTAAAGTGGTCACCAAGAGATTTAGAGCCTCTTTAGCCTTTTTAGCTTTTGCTCTTGTCATTGGGCCTCCAAGACCTTGTATGTCCTCCAAGTTTGTTGTCTTGGTCATGCCACCTCCTATGTCCTCATCATCATGCCACCTCCTATGTCCTCATCACTTCGATGTCGGATTATATAGCTATTAATATGGAATTAATACTGAGTAGGGAATTATTGAATTATAATTATAGGTGAGAATTTATTAAGGCATGTGAAACTTTAGCAGAAGATGTAGGAATAAAGTAATAATGACATTTACAAAGGGTTAAGGAAATTTAAAAGACTTGGGGACTATAAAATAATGGGCTGGTCATTTAATAACTAAAGTATTAGATTTAAAAATTTTGGACTCACACTTCACCTATAGGTCGACGGCCCATATGGCATGTGGAGGGTTTTGGTTTAGCCCTAAATCTTGTTTTCATGATCTCATCTTAAGGATCCCTTTAGGCAGACCTTGATTGGATGGAAATCCCCACATGGCAACAAACCACACCCTTGCTTTTTCCCTCACATGTGCGCATGGAAAGGAACCTATAACAAGCTGATTGCTTGTAGCAATAGACAAACTTTAGCTACCTAGGCCTTAGCATGCGTCCTATGGGAAGTAAAAAGTCAGCATGCATGTGTTTCTATTGGCTAAAAAGACATCAACCACTTTAATCTTTTCCTTCTAGGCGCATAGGTAGGAGAAAGAAATCTGATCACACGTTTCTAAACAATCATACCCATCTTTGTTTCCCTCTTTTGTATGCCTAGGATAGAGTAAAAGCAAAAGAAATTCTGACTTAGCCTCTTATTGAACAACCCAATCAGCCTTTCTTTTCCTTCTTTTCATGCGCCTAGGGGAGGTAAAAAGCTGACCTTGCTTGTTGCTTTGTACAAAACCAACTCAGCCCTTATTTCCCTTGTATCTAGCGCTACCTTGGGCAGCAAAAATCTGATTGCTTGTTGTTCTAAACAAAACCAAATCGGCCTATGAGTGTTAACCAAGTGGCAACCAAAAATCTTCAACCCTTTTGCATGCGCGACACATAGGCATTAAGATGAAACTTGGATTTCCTTCCCTATCTCACGGCCAAACACCTTTCTGATTAAGAATTCACATTCTTACTACCTCCAACAAATAGTCTCACCTCATTTGTCCGTGAATCACCAAGGCAAAAGAAAGTCTACTCAACATCCTTACTCCTCTACGCATCACTAACAAGAGAAAAGAGAAAACTTCATCTTTATTCTTCCAACCTCCTCATGTCATTCTCTCAAGATCGTTGGTACCTAGTAAGGAAAACAAACCATAGTACATCTCTCCCTCTTTGCCTCCTCAAGTCGTGAACACCATAGAGTGATAAACCTCAAGAAAGAATTTACACTCTATTCCCTTATCTTACTAGAACTGTGAGCTCTTTGAGCCAAACCCAAGACTCATAGCATTTCCTCTTCCTTCCTTTAACGTAAGGTGTTCATTCTTTCCACGTTCTTACACCTTTTGATTAGCATTGATGGAAACTGTTCTATTTGCATGGAATCAAAGGCCGAAGCCTTGGAGCATAAGAGGAAACCTTTGTTGCATGCACGATTGAGCATAGACCTTCATCTTCCCCCCTTCTCTTTGTGCGCTCGGTCAACACCTTGAAAGGTTGAACTTGTTCTCTTGGAGCATTGGAAGGATTAAGTGCTGCTCCTTGTTTTAATCTTGGCTTAGGAGTGTACTCTATAAGGTAAACTCAGATTTAGAACCCTCTCTCCCCATCTCCGTTCGGTATTGTCTAGCATGCTTAGGGAGTTAGTTTCTAAAATTTTTATCTTTCTGATTCTGCCTACATGAATCACTTGGACACTAGCTTGGAAACAAAAAGAAAAATAAGTAATAAATTTGGAGAGGGGTGTCTATTAAAGTCGTGGGACTGTTTTGGGTAAGACTCCTGTTGTACTTCAAATTTCACATGAAATTAAATAAATAGACAACATGTTGTTAGGTTCTATTTCACGCAAACATGGCCTTGTAGAGTTAAATCTCTGAATAAATTATCTAAGCCCTGTATATGCTAAAACACTGTTTCTGTTTGGGGTGTTAAACGTTGGGTTGTTGACTATTAAATATTGGTAAAGCTTTTGTAAATTCAGAATTAGTATTAGGAAGGAAACTTGGCAAAATAGAATGGGAAGTAAGAGTTTGGGAAAATAAAAAGAAAAAGAGAAGTGTCTTGTGTACGTATAGAAAATTAGCATGTGATTCTGACTTGCTGTACTGTACTTAGGTGCGCATAAACATTAAGAGCGCGGATTGTTTTGCTGCTGCTTCGTAAATAAATTGTGACGTGTGAGGTAAGTGTCTGGTGGCATTACCTTCTGTGACTGCTAGCTAGTACATGGATTGTGAATGTTGCTCTCATGATTTGGATTCGAATTATGTATATGTTATTCACATGCTATTCTGGAATATGATATGCTGGATATTCTGTTTTGAAAAGTAAATATATTCAGCAACTTGATATTTGAAATCCATGGTGTACATGCCATTCTGATTATTATCTAGTCATGCATACTCATGTCATAATTTTTAGATTTTTGTTTGTGTGCGAACCATGACATAGCATACATGCATAAATTTCTTGTTGTTTTCTGAATTAAAAATAAGTATGAAAAGTAAGAATACGTTTGAGCACGCATCATATAGGCATCCCTCCGGTACCAGGGTATAGGACACTTGGCTTCAGTCCGCTTAGGTACAGTTGGAGCCCTTCTGAGGAGCCACCCAGGGTACTCCACTGTTCTGTTAGTGATACGTGCACAGTAGTGCTATGAACGTACACTTCTGGCGTTATATACGCAATATGATATTATGTCAGTGATACGTGCACCGTAGTGCTATGAACGTACACTTCTGGCGTTATATACGCACTCTGATTATGATTAGTATTTGATGGATCTGAACTGATGATGCAGCTGCTTTGTAATTCTGTATTTAGTTAGTACTGTTGCATTACTGGTTTTGTTGCCACACTACTGGGATTTTTCTCACCCCTTTGGGGCTACTATTTTTTACAAAATGGCAGGAGGATGGAACAGCATTTGAAGACTTGATTATATGGATATTTGCTGTTATGTGCTGCTGTTTAGACTTTGCTGTTGTTGTGTATTTGATGGATAACTGTATTAAATCGAGAAGTTTGGATTACTTTTGGATTATGATTTTATTGCTGTTTTAAGACTCTTATTATCAGCAAGTATTTTGGAAACAAATTCTAGAAATGTTTTGGGAAAATAATTTCTGACGTTTTATTAAGTGCTGATTTTTGAACAGTTCTGCGAGCACCTTACGAGTTATGTTACGAGGGGCAAACGAACTCCGATTTACTATTATTTTATATGCACGTGAAGCCCCACATGTCTAGTTTTTGATTATATAAAATTTACAATAAAATTTTGAGAACCTGATTTTACACGAATTTTTCAAGACAACAAGGTCTGCTAGGAAATTAATGTTTTCAGCAAGTTAATGAAATTTGAAAGTATACTCTGATTTTGGTAAGCAACCTGATTTCAGTTTTAAGCTTTATTTAGCAACATCAAAATGAATTTTCAGTAGTTAAAATGACGTCAAAAACTCTAATTCCGCTTAGCAAACAAACGCTCCTGGACGCGTACAAGAGGGGGTGTTACACTAATTGGTATCAAAGCAGTTTTGGTTCATGGTGTCTATTTTTGATTGAATTGTGTGCTGCTTGCTGGATTGTTGTTGCCTGGTTTCCTGGGTTATTTGTATTTGTTCGTTGAATTGTTGTTATTTGAACTTAGTTGTGAATAGATTACTACTGGTTATAGATTGCATTATATCTGAAGGTGTGATGATACTGGTAGTACACGGTATTAAGCATGGCTGTGCCCATTTCCTTGCTAGATGGTGAGCCTGATCAACTCACTGTCGCGCAAGTTGTGTGTGCACAATCATGGTTATCACGGAGTACACTTGTGTCTGAGCACTAGGTGTGAAATAGTAAATTGATTATTTGACTTAAAGGTGAATTAATAATTCTGTTTTCTATGAATTATACACGCAGTTATATATATATATATATATATGCTTGA